GTGACTTACACATTCAGTTTGCTGTTCAAATCAGTTGGGAGAGTCGCTGGAGCCGCAGTACCATGGAAGAACAAGTTTATCACATTTGTCAGTGTGTCTGATAATGTTGTGAGTGGTGCATATAAATTGAGGTTTACAAGTTTAGCACAATCTTTGAACGCATCTTTCAAACTGTTGCAACCTTTCTGTGTTCTTAAAACATTATTCAACATGTGCATCCCGAAAATTTACCCTCAGGAATCATGGTATTTTCAGACAAATCCGCGTGTTTTAACGTTGTGATTCCATCAAAAACTTGTGTTCCAAATGAAGTGACTGCTTCAAACCCAGTGACTGTTGCCAGAGAAGTGCAACCCTCAAAACACTTTGTTGGAATTGTTGTGAGGTCTGTAACGGGAAAGGGACATTTCACCTAAAGACATTTCACCAAATTCTTTCCAAAACTTTCTTTTTTGTATTTTATCAATAAAATTTAAAAATATAAAACGAGAGTTAGTATTTGGTCATATTGTTTCAAAAAATTACACATTTTTATTTTTTTGTTCTGTCAGTTTTAACACTAACAATTTCAAACCAACTTATTTGACACTACATGAATTAAATAAACCAAAAATACAAAATTTAAAACAAGCTATTTCAAAACTAATTATTCAAACTAATAATCACAACCATCATCATAAAGTATTTAAATATATAAAAATAATTAAATATTTATTGTTATTTACACTTAATTAAAATCATAACAATTTTAATTTACTCACTTTTTTATATAATTATTATCACAAATAAAAACACATAAAAATTTATAATAATTATTAAAAATGAAACACAATTAAATTAAATAAATTACAATTTTATGTCACTTTTTATTAAAATGTAATTGAATTGTTAATTATTTTTGTGACTTTAATTATGACTATAAATAATTTTTAATTATATTGTATTTATGTGTAGTACGATGAGTATCAATAGTCAAAGAAATAAGGAGTTACCTGTTGTTGATGGATATTTATTTCACCCAATAAATAAAAGGAGAATGAATTTTAGATGTTCTGTTAAAGGTTGTAAAGTCACTATTAACAAACAAAAAGATGGTACCTTTTTGTATGGCAGAAATAACGTTCATAAACACGAAAAACAAAATTTATTAAAAAAGAATTATATAAATTTTATAAGAAAAGATCTCAAGACTAATCAAGCTAAATCAACTCCAAGAAGAATTCTTATAAGAAAATATACTCGTAGTTCAATAGGTATGAAGTCTGAAACATTGGAAAAATATGTTCAACGAAACTTACCAACAAAAAAAGAACCGAAAACATGTGAAGAAATTGATTTATCTGTAGGTGAATCAAAACTTATTTTTAAAAGTGGTGACTCAAACATCTTCATTTTTGGGGATACAGAACAATTAATGATGCTTGCTAGGTGCACATGTGTTATGATGGATGGTACTTTTCAAAGTTGTCCACGTCAATTTTATCAATTATATACAATTCACTGCCAATTAAAAAATGGCCAAATATATCCCATTTTGCATTGTTTGATGAAGAAAAAAACCAAAATTATCTATAAACAACTTGTCACAGCAATTGAAAAATTAATAAAAGAACAGAATTGCAATGCAACTTGTTTCGAACGAGATATTGATGTAATAACCGATATTGAAAATTCTCTTATTTCTGTTCTAAAAGAATTTAAAAAAGTTAAACACCATGGTTGTATGTTTCACCAACGTCAAGCAATAAACAAGTATATAAATACGTTGGGTTTGAAAGAAAAATATTGGAATGATGGAGATTTCAGATTTTCAATTAAGATGTTAGAAGCCGTTTGTTACCTAAAACCTTGTGATATTGAATTTGCTGTAAATTTCGTTGGTGCACTCTACGTCCACACAATTGATTTTAATAAGGTTTTTGAATATTTTAAAAGAGTGTGGATGTATGGACTATATCCAATTGAACTTTGGTGTCAATATATGAGAGAGAAGAGAACCAACAATGACTGTGAAGTTTATCATTTAACACTTTCGAGATTATTAGCTTTATCCAAACCTTCATTTTGGAAGTTTGTTGAGACAATTGAAGGCATTATTGATGAAACCAAAAAGAATTATCACAAAGCTTTAAATGGATACTTTAAACCAACAAATAGGAAGCAAGATGAAGTAAATGAATTGTTGAAAATTTTGACTATCAACTATTATTGTGAAAAACTTAACTTGGAAGAATTTTTAAAAAAGACAATACAAGCAACTGACAAACTTAATATGGAAGTATTTTTTGATTTTCCAGAAAACGAAGAAAAATCGGACAATGATGAAATGATGCTAGAAATACACGAAGAAGAAACGTGTCATCATATATCAGAAGAAATAACAGATCATTATTCGAGTTGTGTTCAAGGTGTTGCAATGTAAATTGAAGAACAAAATGATATATTTAAATGTGATAAACATATTACAACAAGTGTTAAAAAAAAGAAAACGGCGTCTTTCTTTGATTCAAAAAATTGACAGAGAATTTAAAGAAAATCGCAACTTAAATGAGTATTGATATATGTTCGTGTTTATAATAACTGTTTAATATAATAACATTTAAATTGAAACATAATTAATATAGATTCTTTATATACAAACAAAATTATTTGTTTGTTTTTTATTGATTATTGAATAAATAAAAACAGTTTGAAGAGTTTTTTATATTGTAAAATTGTTTTTTGAATTTGTTTTTTATTTGAAACCAACTAATAATTAAGATATAAAACAATTTAGTATCTTGTATTTGAATCTTAAATTTATGTTTGATTAAAACGGGTATTTTTTTCAAGGAACAAACTTTTAATATTAAACAAACTTTCTATTCACACGTTTTTAACAAATA